AAATGAATAGCGAAAAAAACTTTATATATAATCAAATTATTTCACGTTTGAGGTAATATTTTATTAACGGAGATTTGAATCGAAAGCAATTTCCAGTTAAATATATTCATGAAGGACGTTTGTATTACTGATATAATACATATGAATGAATATGAAGTTATACTGGTGGAATCTTTTATTTTGTGGGCTTTATATTCATTCCTGTGGAATGATTTGGATAGTTAATTTGTTAATGCGTTGTGTAAGAAATTTTTGAATAGCGAATTGATTGATAGATGTTATTTCGCAAGGGATATTACTGTTTTGCAACAACAAAAAAAAAAGATTCGTTTGTTTATATATATATCAGATCTATATATAGAGTATTATCTATCACATTTATTGGATTCAACCGGATATTGTCAATTTATTGTTTTTTTTTTGCTTTAGTGAATATTTTAGTTTTTACTCTTGTGCAAATTTTTTTTTGCTCTTCTGCATAACATGGGTAGTGGCAAAAAACTTATAAGCAACCGAGGCTTAATCATAAGACATTTAGGACATTACCGAAAATTATATATTGATGCACTCCAAAGCATCGTCAATGTATTTAACCAAACTTTATTACATATAGGTGGAAAAACGGTTATCATGGTGATGCTCATTCGTTATGATAAAGGTAAGTAATATTAGGTATTGGTGCTAGTCCGACAACAATTTTCGCGCCAATTCCCGATAGAATAATTGGCGTGATGAAATTGATCTAGCTCCAATGCAAGTACCGTAGCCCAGATCACTCCTGCCACAATACGGATTTTATGCCACAGGTAAGTATTTGACTTGCGTGCTACCCTACTGCTGCCAAAATTAAAATCGTTTGCCGAGTGAATATTCGTCGATTATGCCTTCCTATTTTTTATGTGTAATTGATGAAAGGTGTCTCGTTGATCTTATAAATAATTATGCGACTTTAAATATTTTCTTAAAAAAAATATTCGATATTTCAAAGTTCTCGTGTTTAGTATTTCCTGAACGATAATAACCGCAATAAATAATTATTATATTAAAAATATACGTGTTCCGTTATTTTTTGTAATTATATATATAGTTGTTTTTATATATAAAAGAGTATATTAATTTTTTTTAAACATAAATATAAAAAGATAAAAAAATTAGAATTCCAAGTATAATAAATACTTTTAATCTAATATACTAATACTATTTTGCTAAGATTTTTGATTAATATTTAGAATTAATACTGTATGTTAAAATTAATTTTTAAAAGCAGTTTATTTTATCTTGTTAAAAAAATAAATTAAATTTTTAAATAAATAAAAAAATTATCTTTATTTTATTTAAAAATTTTATCAATTTTATTTTTAAGAATTTAATTTTGAGTTTCAAAGTTAAAATAATTTTATTTATATATATTTATTTTATATTTTACTATTTATATAGTTTTTAAATTAATATATTTACTATTGTTATCAAATATTTTAATAACAATTATATAATAAACAAATTTAATTTAATTAAAAAAATAATTTTGAAAAAAAGAGTTAAACAAGTTAAAATTATATATAAACATCTAATTAAATATATAAAAAAATAAATTTTTAAAAAAATTAAATAATTAACAATATTGTATTATATAATTTTTTATTTGGATTTAAAAATTTATATATTATTTAACTAAATTTTTAAGTTTATTTATTTTATTTTATTTATTTAAATAAAATGTTATTAATTGATATTATATATTTATAACTTTTTCTGATAATTACTTGGACCAACTGTTTACTAACCACAAGTCAAAGACCCTAAATCAAGAAGTTTAAACTACTTAAAATTTTTATATACAAACTGTTATTATTAATGTACAAGCTACAAAACCTATAATGATTTGAATTATATTATTGAAGAAGTACGTAAATAGAAAACTGAATAAGTTATAGTCTTTAAAAATAATACTAATAGTAATAGTAATGATCAAGCTATTATATATTTTACTGAATAAATTGCAAACTTAATATTAATCTTGCTAAGAAACAACCTGTTACTCCTGTCTACTATTTTAAAAATAATTCCTTTTAACAAGATAATAATAATAACAATAATAATAATTCTTAAAATAACATTTGCTATTACTGTAACGATAAAGAATATTTTATTAAAAATTGCTATATACAAAGAGAAAATAACTAAAAAAATTTATATAATTATTGATCTAGCTAAGATAATAGATACTTTTTATAAATAACTGATTTTATAATTGATCTAAATCTTGTAATTAGAATAGATTCAGAAATAGAAATTATGATTGATAAAACAGATTCAGAAGCAGAATTAATCTCATAATAGATACTGCTTGAATAATTACCTCTTCTATAACTAGAACTATAAATCTAGAAGTTGATCTTCTATCTTTATCCTCAAAATATATATATTGCAGATACAACTAATAATTATATCTATAAACAATTTAAACAATTTTTAGTCAATAAATTTATTACAACAGCCTTAGCTAGTTACGTTATAAAAAAATCTAGTATCTCTAACCAGACACAAACACCAACTTACACTATTTCTGTTAAGAACTGTATAGTAAATCACGTAATTTCTGCTTACTATAAGGTCTACCCCTCTCCTCCTTCTGCGATAAATATTAACTAATCAAAATTTATTTTTCTTAGAATGTGATGAATTAGCTACCCCCAAAAAAAATCACGTGATTTCCTGCATTTTCCTAAATATAA